CGGAGGGAAGTGTGTGGCAGAAGAGGGAAGGTGACAACCCCTTGAGCAGAGCCTGGGTTCTAAAAGCTCCTTAGCCTTCTCTCTGGGGGGGGCCTCCAGCTGTGACCCCCTCCCCCCCCCAGAGGCCCCACACCAGACTCACCAGCAAAGTGCTGCTTCAAACAGCTGCATAAGAGCCCCCGTATAAAGGCCGTGTAGGACCCGTTGCATAGCCAGGGTGGCCAGGGGTCCAGGGCTTCTGCCTCCAGACTCCACCGCCGACCTCAGCTGAGGGCACAGCCACTGTTCCACTAGCAAAAGTGGGCCAATTTCCTGCGAAAGGTCTGGCCTTTGCTGGCACACCAGACCCGTCATCCCCTAGGATCCCCGGGATCCCCCTGGGGCTGGGTACAGACCCTTGCGTGTGGGAGCTGAGTTACACCAGGGCCTGCTGGGTAGCGTTAGGCCGGCAGGCAGCCTCCTTCCCAGGGGGCAGCAGGCAGTAGACAAAGAGCCTCATGCAGGCCCGGGCCTCTCTTCCTGTCCCCTGTCGTGCGTGGGCAGACTCCAGCCACTGTGCCCTCCCTGCGGGCAGAGGGGCAGGCCTGTGGAGGGCTGGGTGCTCTTCCCCTCCTCCGCCCTGCTTCAGACTCCCCCTCCAGAGGCTGAGAGCAGCGATCCTGGGCCCGGCTGAGCCTAGGTGCCCTAGGCCGTGCCCTGGCCCCTCGCCCACTCTCGCAGCTCCCCGGGGCACGGGGGCTCCTCCCGCCGCCCGCCCGCGAGTGTGCGCGATTTCCGAGGCACACAGCACTCCAAGTGCAGGAGGCCCCTTCAGGTGCCTGTCTGTTCTTCTGTTCCATTGCCGCCCAGGGATGACCGTACCCACACGGTGGTCTTTCTAGGTCCCCCTGGTGCTCGGCTGCACTGTGGGGCAGTACCCTCAACTGGTAGAGTCAGGCCTCCAGGCCCCCCCAGACGGTGCAAAGGAGGGGCCGCTGGGGCCAGGCAGGCAGGCAGGCAGCGGGTGCCAGCAGTGTGGGCCAGTTCGGTCCCTGGGCTGTTCTGCCAGCCCAGCGCCAGGAGATGGGAGCGAATTCCAAGCCACCTCCAGCCACAGCTGCCTTTGCTTCCCAGGTCCCGGCTCCAGCCCACACGTGGAGAGGGAGAGAGACATCCCACGGCGGGGCGGGGGGGAAATACCACATCTCCTCTCTGAAAAGCTGTCCGGGAAGAGCAGCCCCCTGGGACCCTGGAGCTGTTGGCTTCTCTGCTCTGGGCACGGTCCTCGGCCCTCTCCCCCACCCCTCCCCCCATTCTCCAGCGGTCTGCCTCCGAGGGTGGGTGCCGGCGGTGGTCCAGGCCCGCTGGCCAGGCAGCCAGGCCTCCTGCAGCTGCCCACAGACCGGCTCCCGCCCTCGCTCCCACACCCACCCGCTAAAGTCTGGGTTTTGTCAGGAAGCGGTTTAATTAGCAGACTGGAGGCTTGGGGTTCACACTGTGTATGCAGGCTCTGTCGCCTCCGCCTCTTCTCACCTGCTATGGGGTGCCATGCTGCAGTGCCGAGGCTGGGGGCCAGGCTTTGCGAGAAGCGGGCAGGGTGGGGACGGCTCCCGGTGCAGAAGGGACGAGCTGGGGCCTCCAGGCACGCCCCCTGCGGAGGGCTCCTGCCTGGCCCCCGCCCGGGCACCTAGAGGCATGCGCACTCAGGCCCTGAGCCCCCCAGCGGGCTGCCTGTGCCTGGAGGTGCTCGGTCCATCACCCTCTGGTGAGGGGGAGAAGGGGGCAGGAACCCACTCAGCCCCCAGGCTTCAGGGAGACTTGCCTGGCCAGCCCCTTCCCCTCAACCCCACTGTTCCCCACCCCTGCTCCTGGGGACACTGTCCCAGCTTCTCACTGGGTCCCTCTCATGCACCCAAGCACCCTCAAGTTCTCCATGAAGGTCTGGGCGTGCCTCCCCCTGCCTGGGCCCTTTCCCTGGCTCCCCACTGCCCTCGGGATGAAGACCAGGCCCCTCGGCAGAGCATGCAGAAGTCCCCCCTCCTCCCGAGGCCAGAAGGCCCTCCCCCCTATCAGCTCGCGGCTCCCCCCCCCCCCCCCCCACACTAACTCAGTCAGAGCTTTGGGACACCAGCCTTCTCACCACCAAGCCCTCCTACTCTGAGCCTTTGCGTATGCCGGTCCCTTGGCCCGAAGTGACCTTCCCACCCCACCCCTACTATGCTGGCTCTGTGGCAGGAGCGGTCCATCCTCTCGAGTGGGAGAGCTCTCCCTGCCCTGTGGCCCCGGCCCCCAGCCCTCTGCCTCCTACAGAGAGGGACCGCGGCCGTGACAGCTCCCAGGTCCACGCTGGCATGAGAGAGGAGTGACCCACACGCTGTGGTCACGGTGGGGGAAAAGAAACAGGCCCTGTGGATGGCCGTCCTGGTGGGAGGAAGTCAGCAGCCAGAGAACAAACTCGGTTTTGAGTCACAAAGAGCCTTTTCATCTATACAGGTCGGATACAGATGCTGACCTCAGCCTGGAAGTCCCGAATGAAAGAAAACCCCGGGTCTCCTAGCTCGAGCCAGCTTTGACCTGCTCGCCATGATCTAAACTCTGCCCTCTTTGCCACAGGGCAGTTTCGCCCAGGAAGGGGCTGGGGGGCACAGGCGTGTTGTTCATTTAAAATGCCACTCGACTAAGTCACCAGCCATAAAGCCCACCTGGGTTTCCAGCAGCATATACCGGGCGTCTGATTAATGATACACACATAATAATCCATCCCTAAGAGCCATAGGTTGAAATGAAGCAGGAGGGCTAATTGCTAATTTAGGAATTAATATCAGTGAGTACCGATCCTCAGGGCAGCTGGGAGCTGCAAAGCTGGAGAGTGATTCCACTTCGGGGGGAGAGTTCTGAGGTCCAAAGGGGGGGTGGGTACCCTAGAAGATGAACAGGTAGGGGGTCGGAGAAGACCCAGCCACATGCGCCCCGCTCTGCCTCGCCACTGAGTTCAAATGTGACTATCATGACATAGGAGTCTGGAGGATCCCGGAACCACAGCACAGTGTTACCTTCCCCGTGGGGCCCCCCCGTGATCCACCCTCCCAGGCCGGACAAGGTGGGCTTTTTGCTCCCAGTGTGGGTCTCACACTATGGCTCTCTGCAAACCAATGGCCTCCCCACTGGATTTGGAGCTCCTAGAGGACAGGGGCTCTTCCTTGAATCCCGATGCCTTGCATGGTGCCAGGAGCAGACCTGGAACCAGTACATGTTTGCTGGATGGATGGAGGGAGGGAGGGAGGGATGGATGGATGGACAGATGGAGAGACAGAAAGATGGGTAGATAGAAAGATGGACAGGTAGGTGGATGGATAGAGAGATGGAGGGAGGGGGTAGTGACAGATGCATGGATGGATGGAAAGAGAGACAGACAGATGGAAAGAGACAAGGAGATGGACAGATAGATGGAGAGATGGGTGGAGGGTGGGGGATAGATGGATGATGGGTGAATGGACAGAAGGATGGATGAATGGAGAGCTATGTGGATGGATGGATGGATGGATGGATGGATGGATGGATGGATGGATGAGTGGTTGGATGGCTGGGTGGGTGGATGGCTGGATGGCTGGGTGGGTGGATGGATGGATGGATGGATGGGTGGATGGATGGGTGGGTGGATGGGTGGGTGGATGGGTGGATGGGTGGGTGGATGGGTGGATGGGTGGGTGGGTGGATGGGTGGGTGGGTGGGTGGGTGGATGGGTGGATGGATGGATGGGTGGGTGGATGGATGGGTGGGTGGATGGGTGGGTGGATGGATGGATGGATGGATAGATGGGTGGATGGAGAGATAGATGAATGGGCAGATGACTGCATGAGAGGGCCTCAGGAAAAATCCAAGTGCAGTGGCCCCAGGGGCCACCTTGTGTTTGGTTGATGGTGTTTCTGTTGCACTGAGACTTGGTGTCTTGCAAAGAGAGGGGAACTGACCCAGAATTCAAGGTCCTGGTTGTCATGCAGGTTGTATGACCTTGGACAGGCCCCCCTTCTCAGTGTCATTGCCCCTGCACAATGGTCCTCCCTGCCCTGCGAGCTGTGCTGGTTTGTCTCAAGGCTCAAGGGAGATGGCAAGCAGAAATGACCTGGAAAAGGATAAGGCACACTGTCCCCTTGTAGACAGTGTGTATGTACAGACAGATCCAGCCAAAGTGGAGTGGTGTAGACATGTGGGATTGTGCACTTGGCTTTCTTTCCCCCTTTCAGGTTCCTTTTAATACGGTCATGATGTTATTATTTATAACAAGAAGTAAAATTGTAAGCATCTCAAGTACTTACAAGTGGAAGCCTTTGTGATGTTGACCCAAAAAAACTGGTTCTTTGGCACCAGAGCAGAGACCTAGAGCCTATGGGAACAGGGGAGGCGAGGGGTGGCGAGCAGAGAACGTCCTGTAGGGGGAGTGCCTACGAGCTGGGCCAAAGTGGCCAGGGGCAGAAGAGGGGCTCCCGTCGCTGACCCTTTGGGACTGCGCAGATTTGTTTTGCCCTCTGGCGCTTTGACCCCATAGAAAGTCCCCATACAAGTGCTCACTTTGTTTGCACTGCGTGGTCCCAGCCTCCCCCCCCCCCCCACCGCCCTCCAGTACCAGTAGTGCGCCCACCGGGGACGGTAGATGTTTGCCAAGAGGGCACATTTACATATTTATTCCCGGGCCTTGTTTGGTTCAGTGAGCTCAGGTGGCTAGTAACGCACCCACACGTGGGAAGAGCTCACACCTCCAGCCACCCCTGGCCAGGCTGACCCAGCATAGGCAAAGCTGGTGGGACCCGCCAAGAGCCTGGCTCCGTCCCCGATTTTCTTTTCTTTTTTTTTTTTTATTAATTTTTTTTAAACTTTTTTTTTTTAAACGTTTATTTATTTTTTTGAGACAGAGCATGAATGGGGGAGGGTCAGAGAGAGGGAGACACAGAATCTGAAACAGGCTCCAGGCTCTGAGCTGTCAGCACAGAGCCCGACACGGGGCTCGAACTCACGGACCGCGAGATCATGACCTGAGCTGAAGCCGGCCGCTTACCCGACTGAGCCACCCAGCCGTCCCCGATTTTCTAAATGAGAAAGGAGAGTGGAGTTCCCGGGGTGCGTTTAGGCAGCAGCTACGGGGCTCTGCCGCAGAGAGGCAGATGTAGTCCCTCCCTTTCAGGACACCATGGGTGTGTGTGGCCCTGCACCCCGAGGGGGGGGGGTGGCCCGACGCAGGAGGGGAGGGGTGACATTGGGTGGACTCTGGCAGGAGTAGGGACAGTGTGGGGAAGGGCCTGGAGAGAGCCGCCTCGGGGCATTCCGGGGGATGCTGATGGGCCAGGCAGGGCCGGGCCCTGTGGGGCTCTGGAAGCTGCCTAGGACCCTTGCCTTTACCCTGAGGACCGTGACAAGGGCCTGATGCCAGTGGGATGAGGCTGCCCTCCTGGATCCATAACTTCCAAAGCAGAACTTGGGCGGTTTCTCTCTGTCGTGGGGCATCGGTGGCCATGGCCGGCTGGAGCCTCTGGGCTCTGAGGACACTGCCCCCGTCCTCTCTAAATACGGAGGCCCAGCTGCCTCCGCCTCCACCCCCAGCGGTACAAAACAATTTCCTCGCCCCGGCCAGGGAGGCAGATGACCTCATTGGACTGTTTCCATCTCTGCCTTTCGTAGAGAAATTACAATTTATAACTGGATGCAATCGTGCGGGTGTAACGGCAAGAAGGATCCGTGCCGTAGCCCGGCAGTCACCCCTCATGCAAGGGCTGTCCTCGTCTCCCCTCCCGCCCCACCCCTGCCCTGAGCCTTGGAGGGGCCGCACTCCGCCTGCCTGCTCGTACTCCAGGTATTTAGCAGGGCCTGGCCATGCAGGATCTGCGGGGCTTGCTGGTTCTTGAACCTCCTTCCTCTCGGGGAGGCTTGTCTCAAGGCTCCCCCGTCAGCCTCGGCCTGCGCTCCACCTGGACAGCACCCACCCCTCGTCCCGCACGCGCCCCTGCCGGGCTGGGCATCCGGTGGGCAGTGCCTTCCGCCCCCCAGTCTGGGCTCTGGGCTTATTAAAACACGCGCCCTGGGGCGCCTGGGTGGTTAAGTCGGTTGAGCGTCTGACTTCAGCTCAGGTCATGATCTCGCAGTCCGTGAGTTCGAGCCCCGCGTCGGGCTCTGTGCTGACGGCTCAGAGCCTGGAGCCTGCTTTGGATTCTGTGTCTCCCTCTCTCTCTGCCCCTCCCTTGCTCATGCTCTGTCTCTCTCTGTCTCAAAAATAAATACAAACATTAAAAAAAAAAATTTTTAAAAAACACGCGCCCTAAATATCCCTGTTTTTATTTGTAACGGCCCCAGACAACACGCCTTCCTCAAATCGGCCACCTTGGGCCCGACAAAGAAGACCGCCCAGATGCAGCTGAGCCCATCTGGATCCGATTTCAAACCAGAGCTAACACTCTCAGATGTGTAATAAAAGCCCTTTTCCAAAGAGGGGCTCCTGCAGGGGGAATACGGACACCGGGGCACCGCAGGGCTGCAGGGCGCCACGCTAATGAGAGGCGATCCGGAGGGCTCGGGTTTTGTTTTGGGTTCTGAGGAACAGCCAACCCTGCCCCCAGGTCTCTGCGGAAAGGGGAGGATGGCCTCAGAGGGCACTAGGGGTGTGGAGGCCTGACCCCGGCCTAGGAAGTGGAAGGCCAGGGACTCTGAGACCCAACTTCCCAGCTTCCCCGATGCTCCCGCTTCCCGAGGCGGCGGTGGGGAGGAAAGGCAGTGCTGCTTCTGGAAGCCGAGACCGCGGTGGCCCAGTTGGATCCTTTGAATGACATTTAGCAAGAGGAGCAGGTGCTGGGGGAAGCGGAGCCAGCTCTGGACCGTGCAGGCAGCCCCCGCCATGGCCAGGAGCCCTCCGAACTTCATGTTTCTCTCTCCGGCCCTTCCACCCTCCAGGAAAAGGAAACCGGGCAGCTTTGAGGAGGGTGCTCTGCGTGGCCCCCTGTTTGTTATCTGGATTGCGGAAGAGAAGGGAGATGGGGGAAGAAGCATCCCAGCCCCCTCCCGGCTCCCTGGAATGTGGTGCTCCAGAAAGCAGGCTCCAGAGGGATGGGAGGACAGGCGGCGGCAGCCCAGGCTGCCTGTCCCTGTGCGGCTCCTAATTTCCCTGGGCTTAATCGCTTCTATTGTTTCTTGGCAGGTGAGGAGGCAGGGAGTGGGTGCGAAGGCCTCCCTTTTGGACAGACGAGACCAGGGGACGAAGCAGGAAGAACGCGCCCCTCCCCCGCCCCGCCTCCCCAGCAAGAAAACCTTCTCTCCGAACAGGAGAAGCCAAGCAGGACTGAGCGTCCACCGCCCCCCACCCCACCCCACCCACCCGAACATCTTTCCAGAGAGAGGCATGTGGGGCCTGACAGCTCAGCGGCGCATGTCAGCAGCCGCAGCCCCGCGGTGAACATCTGAACTCCTCAGCGGGGTAATGGACCCCCTCCTTCCCCCCCGGAGACACAGCCTGAGTGGCAGGAATACCGATCCTTTGGAGAGTGGCTCCCTCTCAGCTCTGTCACGCAAGAACGCTCTCTGCACCGGGGCCCATTCTGCCGAGTGACTTAAAGGGATTAAAAAAAAGAAGAAGAAAAACTTGGTGGAGAAAAGGGGGTAAAAGCCACGCCGAAGCTTCGCAGAGGAGGTGGCGGCCAGCAGACAAAAGGGCAAAAGTTGAAAGAGGACAGCAAGAGGCCACCTCCGCGGGATGGACGCCAGGCTGTAGGGCATGCCTGGGGAGCAGGGGCCCAGAACACCCTCAGGCTGCACACGGGGGTCCTGGGGCTGCAGGGGGGGGGGGCCTCTGCAGACCCCTCATGCACGCCCCTCACTCCGGGGGGAGAGGCCAGCGGTGCCTGAAGCCTAGGAGACAGAGGATGCCGCTCCAGACCCGAAGCCACGTCTGAGCACGAGCAGGGTGTCCTCCCTGCTCCCCGGGGCGCCCCCAGCTCCACGCAACACCCCGAGTCTGTGGCCCGTGCCTGGGTGCCAGGGCCGCGGGGCCAGAATGTGACTGTGTCTGGGCCCAGCTCAACCGGAAGCATCCAGAGCAGAGACCCCAGCCAGACCCAGCAGGTTCCGGGGCTGCAGCTGAGGAGGTAAGACGCACGCAGATGGGCTCTGGGTGGCCCAGGAAGGCCCCGTGACTCCTCATGCCCAGAGAAGGCATAGCACGCGAGACGGCTGGGGCCTGCTGCTTCCCGGCTGGGTTGCACTGGGGCGTCACAGAGCCCCCCAAGTCTGCAGCTCCAGCCCACCCGCCCCACACGTTCAATTCAGGTAGTTTGCCAGGGGAGGGGTCTTTTGCCACCCAGTGAGTGGCCTGTGTTCTACCCCGGGGTGAGCCGACCCAGGGTATAAGGTCGTGGCCCTTCCGGGCCGTAAACTGCGGTGGGGGGATGCTCCAGCCTGGGCAGGGGCGGGGGCGGGGAGGTCTTACTTTGAGCCCCTCTGAATTGTGCCCAAAGGGGGCGGCAGTGAGGCCTTGGGGGGAGGCAGGACCTTTGGCGACCGAGGCTCCTGGCCATGGCACCTGCTGCCCTCCAGCTGGAGGGAGTCCTTCCATCCAGGTCTGCCCCTGCCCTGGACGGAGGGACAGAGGGTGGGGTTGACCCAAAGCCACCACCCAAGACCCTGCACCCACTGGCCCCTGGGCATCACTGCTCTCTGGCTTCCAGTCCAGCCCCTCTTTGGGTGAGAGTGGCTTGCTGAGGGCCCAGGGAGAGGCAGCAAGTGTCCTAAGATCACACAGCAGGCCAGAGGGCCCCTCCTCCTCACTCAGGCTGCGGAACGTCCCGGGCTTGTCAGGTGGGGAGCTGGGTCCTGCCTGGGGGGCAGGGCCTACTCTCCCCAGGCTCCCCCGAGGCCAGGAGGGAGGGCTCGTGCCTCCCCAAACACAAATCCCAGGCAACTTCTAGGAGCGGCGCCCAGGGCAGGGCAGGGAAGCCCCAATTCATTACCAAGATGGAAAATGACACTTCTCTGCACGCTTCCCCAGGAGAGGGGCTGATTTATGACTGCGCCAGGGCCCGGGACATTCGTCAGCGCGGCGCGACGCGCACGCCGTCTGCGGGGGCATTAATAGCCGTGTTATTAGCCACCGGCGTGAAAGATGCCCTGCGGATCGGCTATTTGCTGTTATTTATTATAAAGGCGCGCCAGCCCGGCAGCGGGCCGAAAGGCGTCACGATCGCTGGGAGCCCGAGCTTGGCCCCTGCCCACCTGGCCTCCCTCCCCCCATCCCTACCACGTGTCCCCCACTCCCCGGTCATTTGTCCCTATTCAACTCCCAGCCCCTAGGAGGGGCTGGGGGCAATTCCTGGAACCCACCGCTGCTCCCCCAGGCCTGTGCCCCAAATATTTATGGAGACTCTGCTCAGCGCCGGGCTCTGTTTCTGGTGAGCTGTGCGACTTCCTTCCGTCCCAAGGCAGAAAGGCAAAGAGAAACAAACCGGGCTGTGGGGCTGGGCCAATATGGGTTGGCGCCCCATCCCTCCTGTCGTGAGCAGTGTGACCCCGGGCACATCCCTTCCGCTCCCTGAATGTGCTCCCCTTTGTGCGCTGGGGGCGCAGTCTCTGCAGGGCTGTGGCCAGCTGGAGGGGAGGGGAGGTCATGAAGGAGCCAGCATGCAGCAGGTGCTCCCCCTTGCCAGCTACTGCCACTAATGGGTCCCAGCCCCTAGGGCTAGAAGGGTCCACAGACCTGTCGGTAGGGGAAGCCGCCCCCATGAGCCCCTGTGTTGGCCACTGTGCACCATCACCCTCCTTGTGCCGATCTTCTGGGAAAGGGTTTGAGAGTTCAGAGCCAAGGCTGGAGGAGGAGGGCAGGGGGAGGAGTGGCTGCGGCTGCTGGGGGTTATCTCTCTGCCCTGGACCAATCCCTTCCGCTCTCTGGGCCTCGGTTTTTCCTCCTCTGTGAAAGGCAGATAATTTCCAAAGTCCCGTACCTCCCCGATTCCGATTCCGGGGTCCTGAGGGTAGGCTCCACCCTTGCGCATACCTGTGGGGTGGGAGGAGGGAGGCCAACTTAAGAAGGCGAGGCTGGCCTCTGGGGCCTGGAGGTAGATCTGTGGTTGGGCAGCACCAGGTCGTAAGAGATGAGCAGGGGGGCAGACAGGGGTCTTCCTCAGGTTTCTCTCTCTGGGGCTGGGGAGGTCCCCCCTGGGCAGGTGAGAGGGCAGGAAAGACACCTGGGAAGGGAAGGGCACTGGACGGCGAGTCCAGGGCCCGGGTTTGTGTCCAGCTCCTCCCCCAGCAGTGAGTGGCACGATTCAGACAAGTCAGTCCTTTTTCCTCTCTGGGCTGTCATGGTGAAGGCACCTGAGTCGTTATCACCTCCTAGGGTGGGGCTGATGGGTGGCCGGCCTCTCCCGCGTTCTCTCCCCCTGCCTGCTTCTAGGCTTCAGATTGTGGGGCCTCCCTTTTGGCATCGTCCTGCACTCGTGCGCTCAACAGAGGTCTACGAGCATTCCCGTGCCAGGCTCTGTACTAGGCTGGTGAACAGGGCAGAACGTGCCCTGGGTTATAGGAATTCCCATTCTAATGGGGAGGGCTGGATAATCAATTCACGATCGATACACAGGACGGTCTGCCCAGGAGCAGGGCCCGCGTCTAAGGGATGCCACACAGCTCCTACGGGGTCCCATCCCCAGCCGGCTCCCAGACTCTGCTTTAGTATCAATAAACATCACCATACCCAGTCTCTCCCTCCGCCCCTGGCTGCTAGGACCCTGCTGGCCGCTTAGAAGCCCAGCCGCGCTGACCCTGCAAACCCAGGGGTCGCGGCCTATTCTCGGGGGCTGGCACCAGCCCTCCACTGCTGCCTTCTCTCTTCCTTCCTCTGGCCCCCCGGCCAAAAAGGCCGTCACGTCCCTCTTCGGCCTCCCGAAACTCCCCTTCCTTTCCTTTTTTCCTTCCCCAAAGGAATTAAGCCTCAGTCCCGGCAGCTTTACTAAAAACGCACACAGACAGACAGAAATATCAGGTGCAGGAATATCTTATTAAATAACGCGGGGAGAGAGGGAGAAACAAAATTACATGTGTCTCCTTTCATCCCCCCGCTCCCTCCCGGCCCTGAATAGTTTAGTATCGACCACTGTTATCAATATAATTAACCTCCTAAGACACAATTTTAAAGTCTTGTTTTTTAAAGGGATTTGCATTCTCTGAAGTTCAGGACATCCCGCTGCCCGGCACCGCCCAGACGGCCCACGCGGGGAGGTGAACTCGAGGTACATTTTTAGTGGATTTGCATACCTGTCTGCAATTACCGCCAGTGGTAACAGCTGATGCATAATGCATGCGGCGTGAAATTAGAAAAATAATTAACTTTAGGGTTTAAAAGAATCCCCTACCCCCGCCCTCCCCTCCCACTACAAGCTCTCAATGGCACCCGTGGATAAGAGCAGGAGCAGAGTTGTGCAGGCCTGGGCTGGGAGGGCCTTGAGGGTCGTGGCCGCCAGCCCCCTGCCGGAAGGAGGTACCTCCAGTGGGCTCAGACTGGCCTGGGCCTCAACTAGGGCTTGGAACAGGCCCGCTCACCCAGAAGTCTCAGGGTCCCCCCTCCACCTCTGGCCCACACTTCACATCTATACCTGCAGGGGGCGCTACCTGCTGCTGAGAACAGCGAAGGGTCCCCTGTTCCGAATGGAATGCTGCATCAGGCCCTCTGCTCAGGGCTGCTCAGGCTTGCAAACGACCGTAGCTTACACCCAGGGAAGCGGATCACGTATGGTGCCGTCTTACGGAGGAAGGCCTGAGACCTGAGGCCACCCTCAGCAGGTGGGGCAGCTGGACGGAGCCCAGGCGAGAGCCCCCTGGGCTATCTGCCTTACAGGGGTGGGGGTGGGGGGAGCCTGGAGGTGGGGGGAGCTCTTGCCAGGCCTCGCTGAGCTCCAGGAGGCAGAG